CCGGCTCCTTCAGCTATGGCTACGAGCATGATTTGCTACTATATTATCTTAGCCCGCTGCCACCGCTGCTTAATATTGAGCGACTTGTTTATTCGACTGAATTATTCGACTGGATTATTCGACTGAACTATTCGACTGGTTTATTCGACTGAACTTTTCGACTGAATTATTCGACTGGTTTATTCGACTGGATTATTCGACTGAACTAACTGACTGGTTTTATCGACTGGACGAGGCCACATGAAAATGTCAAATACCTCATCCCCCCCCCACCCCCGCCCTACCCCACCCCCTTTCTTCGTTCATATCATATATAGGGACTCTATTCTTTTCGAGGCGGACAAGGACAGCTGTCTGGTCGTTCGGATGAGACGAAAAACCGAGGTCCCGTGTCTACATTGGAGTGGACGTAAAAGATCCCTTTGACAGATGGAATTCGATATAAGAGTAGGCCGTAGTGCCGCTGTCCGGGCAAAATTTCCCTCATCGCACAGTGTATGGCGTCTGCCCGTCTTCATTAGCCCAGTTCCAAGCAGAACAGTAGGACGTTAAAACACCATTTCATTTCTTTTCATTTCTTGAAACTAGTTGGGAAGCCCCCCGGTCCCTACCCCATGCCCCCGGCTCCTTCAGCTATGGCTACGAGCATGATTTGCTACTATATTATCTTAGCCCGCTGCCACCGCTGCTTAATATTGAGCGACTTGTTTATTCGACTGAATTATTCGACTGGATTATTCGACTGAATTATTCGACTGAACTATTCGACTGGTTTATTCGACTGAACTTTTCGACTGAATTATTCGACTGGTTTATTCGACTGGATTATTCGACTGAACTAACTGACTGATTTTATCGACTGGACGAGGCCACATGAAAATGTCAAATACCTCATCCCCCCCCCACCCCCGCCCCATCCCATCCCCTTTCTTCGTTTATATCATATATAGGGACTCTATTCTTTTCGAGGCGGACAAGGACAGCTGTCTAGTCTTTCGGATGGGACGAAAAACCGAGGTCCCGTGTCTACATTGGAGTGGACGTAAAAGATCCCTTTGACAGATGGAATTCGATATAAGAGTAGGCCGTAGTGCCGCTGTCCGGGCAAAATTTCCCTCATCGCACAGTGTATGGCGTCTGCCCGTCTTCATTAGCCCAGTTCCAAGCAGAACAGTAGGACGTTAAAACACCATTTCATTTCTTTTCATTTCTTGAAACTAGTTGGGAAGCCCCCCGGTCCCTACCCCATGCCCCCGGCTCCTTCAGCTATGGCTACGAGCATGATTTGCTACTATATTATCTTAGCCCGCTGCCACCGCTGCTTAATATTGAGCGACTTGTTTATTCGACTGAATTATTCGACTGAACTATTCGACTGGTTTATTCGACTGAACTTTTCGACTGAATTATTCGACTGGTTTATTCGACTGGATTATTCGACTGAACTAACTGACTGATTTTATCGACTGGACGAGGCCACATGAAAATGTCAAATACCTCATCCCCCCCCACCCCCGCCCCACCCCATCCCCTTTCTTCGTTTATATCATATATAGGGACTCTATTCTTTTCGAGGCGGACAAGGACAGCTGTCTAGTCTTTCGGATGGGACGAAAAACCGAGGTCCCGTGTCTACATTGGAGTGGACGTAAAAGATCCCTTTGACAGATGGAATTCGATATAAGAGTAGGCCGTAGTGCCGCTGTCCGGGCAAAATTGCCCTCATCGCACAGTGTATGGCGTCTGCCCGTCTTCATTAGCCCAGTTCCAAGCAGAACAGAAGGACGTTAAACCCCATTTCATTTCTTTTCATTTCTTGAAACTAGTTGGGAAGCCCCCCGGTCCCTACCCCATGCCCCCGGCTCCTTCAGCTATGGCTACGAGCATGATTTGCTACTATATTATCTTAGCCCGCTGCCACCGCTGCTTAATATTGAGCGACTTGTTTATTCGACTGAATTATTCGACTGGATTATTCGACTGAATTATTCGACTGGTTTATTCGACTGGTTTATTCGACTGAACTTTTCGACTGAATTATTCGACTGGTTTATTCGACTGGATTATTCGACTGAACTAACTGACTGATTTTATCGACTGGACGAGGCCACATGAAAATGTCAAATACCTCATCCCCCCCCACCCCCGCCCCACCCCACCCCCTTTCTTAGTTCATATCATATATAGGGACTCTATTCTTTTCGAGGCGGACAAGGACAGCTGTCTAGTCTTTCGGATGGGACGAAAAACCGAGGTCCCGTGTCTACATTGGAGTGGACGTAAAAGATCCCTTTGACAGATGGAATTCGATATAAGAGTAGGCCGTAGTGCCGCTGTCCGGGCAAAATTTCCCTCATCGCACAGTGTATGGCGTCTGCCCGTCTTCATTAGCCCAGTTCCAAGCGGAACAGTAGGACGTTAAAACCGCATTTCATTTCTTTTCATTTCTTGAAACTAGTTGGGAAGCCCCCCGGTCACTACCCCATGCCCCCGGCTCCTTCAGCTATGGCTACGAGCATGATTTGCTACTATATTATCTTAGCCCGCTGCCACCGCTGCTTAATATTGAGCGACTTGTTTATTCGACTGAATTATTCGACTGGATTATTCGACTGAACTATTCGACTGGTTTATTCGACTGAACTTTTCGACTGAATTATTCGACTGGTTTATTCGACTGGATTATTCGACTGAACTAACTGACTGGTTTTATCGACTGGACGAGGCCACATGAAAATGTCAAATACCTCATCCCCCCCCCACCCCCGCCCCACCCCATCCGTTTCTTCGTTTATATCATATATAGGGACTCTATTCTTTTCGAGGCGGACAAGGACAGCTGTCTAGTCTTTCGGATGAGACGAAAAACCGAGGTCCCGTGTCTACATTGGAGTGGACGTAAAAGATCCCTTTGACAGATGGAATTCGATATAAGAGTAGGCCGTAGTGCCGCTGTCCGGGCAAAATTTCCCTCATCGCACAGTGTATGGCGTCTGCCCGTCTTCATTAGCCCAGTTCCAAGCAGAACAGTAGGACGTTAAAACCCCATTTCATTTCTTTTCATTTCTTGAAACTAGTTGGGAAGCCCCCCGGTCCCTACCCCATGCTCCTTCAGCTATGGCTACGAGCATGATTTGCTACTATATTATCTTAGCCCGCTGCCACCGCTGCTTAATATTGAGCGACTTGTTTATTCGACTGAATTATTCGACTGGATTATTCGACTGAATTATTCGACTGAACTATTCGACTGGTTTATTCGACTGAACTTTTCGACTGAATTATTCGACTGGTTTATTCGACTGGATTATTCGACTGAACTAACTGACTGGTTTTATCGACTGGACGAGGCCACATGAAAATGTCAAATACCTCATCCCCCCCCCACCCCCGCCCCACCCCATCCCCTTTCTTCGTTTATATCATATATAGGGACTCTATTCTTTTCGAGGCGGACAAGGACAGCTGTCTAGTCTTTCGGATGGGACGAAAAACCGAGGTCCCGTGTCTACATTGGAGTGGACGTAAAAGATCCCTTTGACAGATGGAATTCGATATAAGAGTAGGCCGTAGTGCCGCTGTCCGGGCAAAATTTCCCTCATCGCACAGTGTATGGCGTCTGCCCGTCTTCATTAGCCCAGTTCCAAGCAGAACAGAAGGACGTTAAACCCCATTTCATTTCTTTTCATTTCTTGAAACTAGTTGGGAAGCCCCCCGGTCCCTACCCCATGCCCCCGGCTCCTTCAGCTATGGCTACGAGCATGATTTGCTACTATATTATCTTAGCCCGCTGCCACCGCTGCTTAATATTGAGCGACTTGTTTATTCGACTGAATTATTCGACTGGATTATTCGACTGAACTATTCGACTGGTTTATTCGACTGAACTTTTCGACTGAATTATTCGACTGGTTTATTCGACTGGATTATTCGACTGAACTAACTGACTGATTTTATCGACTGGACGAGGCCACATGAAAATGTCAAATACCTCATCCCCCCCCCACCCCCGCCCCACCCCATCCGTTTCTTCGTTTATATCATATATAGGGACTCTATTCTTTTCGAGGCGGACAAGGACAGCTGTCTAGTCTTTCGGATGAGACGAAAAACCGAGGTCCCGTCTCTACATTGGAGTGGACGTAAAAGATCCCTTTGACAGATGGAATTCGATATAAGAGTAGGCCGTAGTGCCGCTGTCCGGGCAAAATTTCCCTCATCGCACAGTGTATGGCGTCTGCCCGTCTTCATTAGCCCAGTTCCAAGCAGAACAGTAGGACGTTAAAACCCCATTTCATTTCTTTTCATTTCTTGAAACTAGTTGGGAAGCCCCCCGGTCACTACCCCATGCCCCCGGCTCCTTCAGCTATGGCTACGAGCATGATTTGCTACTATATTATCTTAGCCCGCTGCCACCGCTGCTTAATATTGAGCGACTTGTTTATTCGACTGAAGTATTCGACTGAACTTTTCGACTGGTTTATTCGACTGGATTATTCGACTGAACTAACTGATTGATTTTATCGACTGGGCGAGGCCACATGAAAATGTCAAATACTGAAGCGACTAGATACTATGCTGTCATCAGTTTTATGCATCGGACACAGACTTAATTCAAGTTGTTTATATTAGTACGGCCATTGTTTTCAGTTGATGACGTCAGTCGTTGACCCTTAACCCTAGATGACGACCTTACTCGCAAAGAGAGGTCAACACGTTGTTTAGGGTATTGCTATTGGAAGGAAAATCTCAATAAAATTGTGACTTCAACTGTCAGATTTGAACTTGGGGGGAAAATAATCAAAATAGACAAAAAACGATGTAATCATATTTGAGTTAGTGCGTTTTTTATTTCAGTCAAACAAACTATTCCCAAATTTTAGCCCAACCATCGACCGAGTTTGTTGACTGGAAATTCTAGTGGTACTTAGGGGTAATTGAAAATTGATAAAACAATAACGACGTGACAATCCGGACTAAAACCTGTTGGCAATGAATACAAATTTAGAAGATCATATTTCGACATTTCAGCGAATGACTTGCGCAAGGGACAGTAGATAGAGAAACAATGGTATTTTATCGCATCCGGTTGTAGCCTTGCCTATTAGATTGGCATAGACTGTAAAGTAACTTTATGTATGATAAAGAAATATTAATGATGTGAAACCCTTTTCTTCAATCAGGTTTAGGAGAAGACAAAAAATGTCGACTTCACCGACTTCACCGACTTCAATTAGAAACAGAAAGATTAAGAAGAAAAAGCACACACCGGATGGCGAAGAGGGTGTTAATTCGTTAACTGATACTCTACCAAATAATGAGCAGCCTGATGATGGAACCACTTCTACCGTACCCCCCAGTCAAACAATTACTGCACCGGTCAATCAACAAGTAAATCAACCGTCTCAGACTCAACAAACCAGTGTCGGTCCCAAACAGCAAGTTACATACACAGAAGAGAAAGTCATCATATTTGAGATACCACAAAAATGGTTTATCCTGCTAATGGTTTTATTAGTAGCATTCTTTGGATGTGTGTCGGTCTTAATTGTGGTAGGGCGAACGGATCCCACAATAGTTGCAGATGATCTGGCTCACAATATCGGCCCCGATGGAGTGCTATTATTTCAACAACATGATAGAGATGGAGATGGGTATCTTTCTATAGAAGAATTTGAACCATTAGTCTACAGATTATTAGAGACCAATGTATGTATACAAAAGATGTATTAAGAAATAGGCCATATCCCCTCTGTCTGAACATGCATTACCATATATACTATTCAAAAAAAGTAGGGGATATTTGATTTTGGGGGCATAATACTAAAATATGCAAATGACTACGAAAAAAGTCACTATAGAACCTAACAGAAGAAACATTTCCAGTTACATGTGACGCCCAAATGCACCAATAGCTACCGCATGGAATGCAGGTGATGCTTGGGATCATCATGGGGGTCCAGCCCAAGATTTGCATGACTCTGACTTTGAATGTTACAGTCATTGTGGCATTGAATTCCAGGGTGGAAACATCAGTTTAATTGTTTTAGTGACCAGAAAACAAATTTTGATATGCGTCGGCTTACCCAAAATGAAAGGTTACGTGCCCTTGGCATGCTACAGATCGGCACAACACAGGCGGTTGTGGCGCGGACGATGAATGTTTCTCAGTCTGTCATAAGCAGGCTATGGTCCAGATACCGTGATACACAATCTGTACAGGACAGACCACGCTCAGGTCGACCAAGGGCGACAACTCAAGCCCAGGATCGATTTATCCGTACCTTGGCCTTGAGAAATCGTGTCATCACAGCAAATCAGATCAGCGCTCGTCTTCAAACAGACACTGGTGTGAGAGTGAGTGGCCAGACGATTCGGAATCGACTGCATAGGGGTCACCTTCGCGCCCGACGTCCTCGCGTGATCCCTTGTTTGAGAGATCATCACATTCAGGCAAGACGTCGTTGGTGTAGGGATCGTCAACACTGGGATAATCGACGCTGGAGCAATGTTATGTTTTCAGATGAGTCAAGGTTCACTGTTGATTTTTTGGACAGACGTAGGAGGGTGTGGCGTCGTCGAAACGAGCGCTTCCAAGACGTTAACGTCATCAGACATGATCGATTTGGGGGTGGTTCTGTTATGGTGTGGGGAGGCATCACTGTTGCTGGAAGAACGGCTTTACATGTTGTTGCAGGGCGTGTTACAGGCCAGTACTACCGGGACAACATCTTGGCAGTCCATGTTGTGCCGTTCGCACGATGTCATGGCCGCCGTTTCATCTTCCAGGATGACAACGCAAGAATGTCACAGGGCCAGGATCGTTACAGGTTACCTCCAACAACAGAACATCACCACATTACCTTGGCCAGCACTGAGTCCCACCTCTCCCCCATCGAGCATGTCTGGGACATGCTTGGACAGAGGTTACGTCAACGTCAACAACGTCCTGCCAATGTCCAAGAACTTGCTGCTGCGTTGCAACAGGAATGGGACAATCTGGACCAAAATGACCTTAGACGTCTCATTAGGAGTATGCCACGTCGGATCAATGCTTGTTTGGCAAACAGAGGAGGATTTACCCGTTACTGACTTGGTTGTGATGCTGTGGTAACTTTGCTGTTTGACCCCGGGTATCATTTTACCCTTATAATGGTCAGTCTGTGCCTTACTTAGTCTAACGATCATTTGGAATAAATCGATGAATGTGAACTTCATTTCATTTTGTCATTTGTTTCTACGTCAGTTTCATTAGGTGACTTTAATAACACTTAAAAATCAAATATCCCCTACTTTTTTTGAATAGTATATTTCATTAATTAACCTACTTCTGAGGCCTGTGTCCCAAAAAACAGCTAAAATGTCCCACAATTGCTCACATGCAAGATTTCTATACAGTAATTATAATATGCGTGAATGATATGATAATCTGTTTTAGTATTACATTACCTTTTTTCAAAGATTCGTACAAATATTTTTAGACCTACATGTATACTTAATCTACAACTTGTAATTCTGTTTCTCAAACATTCTGCATCAACACGATTCGTAGGTTTACGTGTGTAGCACTCATACACCTGTAAGTTTTATGTGTAAAGTACTGTAGGCGTAAAGAAAAAATTCTGCCTTAAATATTTACGTATAAACTTAATACTTACATGTAGTTTAGAGAAACAGACTTGATTTATGTGGGCAAGAAGTGGATACTATTAAGAAATAGCAGATTATTAGAACTAGAAGTTATGAAGTCGAACAAAGAGTACCCTTTTAAATCTTGAAGTTTTAGTTGCATATCTTTCAATGTCTGTTGTCTTTGCTTCATCATAAATATAAATCACAAGATATCACTACAAAATCAGAGTATTTCAGTACCATATTTCTTGACTCAGATTGTTGGGAATGGCGTTTCCGGGCTTCTAGTTTTCAAAAATTTTCATAGAAGGGCCCCCTACCCCCCATCGCGATCTTATGCATTAACCACTCGTAGGGGATTTGCTGGCTCAAATATAAGATCATATCGGGTAGTAATAGTTATTGTTGACTGTTGAAATACATGTACATTGAAGGGTTTTAATTAAACAGGTGCAAGGCAATGGGACCGGTCTCCTGATGACCTAATTTCATATTTTAATCGAAGATATTAAGGCCTGCTAAAGGTTCACTATACATGTATATTGAGAAGCTATTCATTTTTTTATTATAATGTTTACCATTCTTAAATATTCATTTATTTTGGGTAGTTATTGGCTTAATTCACGAATGAAAGTACAAGAAGAGCACATTTTTTTATAAAGAATACATCAGTGAATTTACATCGTAGCAGACATATTTTTGGTTTCATTATGTATGTTTTTGTAAGGGAAGTATTGTAGGCTTAAAACACCTGCCTTTCAGATGTACGCTAGACTTTTGATTGAGTCAGGAAACATATAATTTTCAAATCATATATTATCTTCAGATAGTTATATCTCTATACATGTATTAGTATTACTACATGCAAATACTTTTAAAAAGCTGAAGATTTCACAGGTACATGTATATACATGTATGCGTGGAATATTGAAATGTTGAAAACTGCCAAAGCAGAAAAGAGAAGGTCAAGGGCACACCCCCACCCACTCCTATCTAGAATTCTGACTGAAAAAGTCCCATTGTAATTCATTATTTTAAAACCTGATTCTTTTCTCAGATCACTGAAAGTGGCATTTCCTGGCTTCTAGTCTTCAAAATTTTCCAGGGACGGCTACCTGGACACCCTGTTGTGCGCTTTGTAGCATACGGCTTTGCCATCCGTGCACCGCCCTATCCATAGTCTCTGGATCCACCCTTGAAGGTTTCCAAATTTTATGATAAAGCATAGAATAACCGAGACCGTGCACAGATTTTTGTCAAACATTTTTTAAATCAAATTTTATGATGTTTTTATCAAATTTTATGATACTTTTATGTCAAGGACTGTACAATAAAAACATTTATATTTTCATAAAACTTTATCATTTCTTATAAAATTTCACCATTTCTCATAAAATTTCACCATTTCTCATAAAATTGTCATAAAAATAAAATGAAAAAAAAAAAAACTTGTATGGATTTACTTCTTCTGAATTTTAATAACATGCTACGTTTCTATATGCATACAGGTATTGTTATCAAGTAAATAATAATTTGTTAACAAAAATGTGGTGCAATGTATATATAACAATTGGAAACCATTTAGCAGATAAAACAATCACTATAAGGAATTAACAAGATGAAAGATATATTATATTGATAACAATTAGAAACCATTTAGCCATTAAGACAACAATGATGAAAGAGATTAACAACATCATAAAGGCATACACTTTGACTTAACAATATGGGAAAACAGGATTCTCTGAAGTATTCAGAAGTAGTAAATCCATACAAGTGTTTTATTTTGTGAAATCTATTTCTTTATGTCTTATAATATAAGGATCATAAAATGAGACGAAAATTTTTTCATTTTCAAAATATAAATGATTAAAATTAACCATAAATCATTACTCCCAATAATAAATTTCTATACTAATAAATCCAGATGTGAATAAGGAAATTATCCAGGAATTTTATGACCCCCCGCTAGCTGCTCTCTTCTTTTTATATTTGACAGTGTTCAGTCAATCTTTATATCTATGCAATTCATTTTCTTGTATTCATCCTGGGTTTGCAAATGTATTTGACAAGGAGTAGGGCTGTGTAACCCAATATTTCACTTTCTCTCTACATGTATATACCTGGGCCCTGTTTCTCGAAATCTTAACTAAAAATAAAATCCAAATTTTAGTAGATACTTCAATTTTGATTGGCTAAACACTAAAATCTCTCTAATATTATCCAATCAAATTACTAAAATTTGTATTTTATCGTCTTAGTTAAAATTCCGTGAAACAGCCCCCGGAATTACACTGTATATATGTAAAAACTTGTCAGTTTCTGTGATCCAATAATGTTTATTTTGGATAAGTACATGTGTAGACATTTAAAACTTTGTGTAAATTATAGGCAATATCAAATTCCATTCTTTGTGTATATTGTACATTAGGAAGAACATACATGTATTGTCGGGTTACATACATGTATTGAACTACATGTACATGAGTCCATCTTTGCCTACATAACCAGGATATGATTTTAAGTGCTACCAATACATTCATGCATTTCTCGAGTGTTTCCTCCATAAATCAGTGACATTATACCCTCAAGAGTCAAAGCAGTAAAAGATATAAAGAGACTTATTAGGTCATATGATACATGACACATGTAATTACTGTCGTTGCAGATGCAAGGATGATGTAATTATTCAATAATGGGATATATGCCACTGCTTTGATAGAGTAGTGTTGTTATAGGTTGCATTAATTCTTATTAAGCTCTTAAGTTAGTACCCTTGGTTAAATAATTTATTCTTCCGAGTCACTCACTGCTAAATAAACATACCATTATTAGTTGAATGGTTTGCTTTTATGCTAGAGATTGATGATATTGTCATTTTATTTAATAATAAATAATTTTGTTTTTTTTATTTTCAGCTATCTGGACCTATTTATGATGTACCTATTGAAGAAAATGATAGTATTGTTACTCTTAGAACTTACTTTGAACCGATAAGGATAGAAACAATGTCAAAAGACATGAATGAAGTTGTAAGTATTGATGATTAAAAGCACATATAAATGGATGAAAAATATGAAATAATGTCTGAATGAATGTAATCTTTAAAACATATCTTCCAAGTAAAAAGAGAATCCCAAAAGGGTAGGGACTACTCCTTATGGCTGTCATGACTCAAATGTCGTCAATTAATTGTCAAATGATTAGATAATACAAGGGCACAAATTCGAAATTTAACAATTTGATTTGTTGTTTTATTACTCACTTAATAATAAAGCAGGAGTTTAATGGTATACATTGTAATGCTTCATTTCAGGTCTTTACGAACCTTTATCAAACATTAAATTTGTGCTTTATTTCACCAAAGTCTATTGTACTTCTGTTGAGAGTGGACTATATACATTCTTTATAATTATGTCAATCTGATTAAAATACACATCTATATTTCATTCCGGTTTTTTTATACTTTCGATGACCTACACTACATGAAGATCAAGATCTGACAAGTTGTACTCGAAGGCCGTGTCAGGGGTCATACGAGCGGCTTTTGACCCTCGGATGTCAGATATTGATTAATCAATCATCAGCGTTGGCGTTTCTAGTGGTTTACCCGCAGTTCCGTGCATGGCACACAAAGAAGTCACTGTGACAGACTATTTCATTGGCTTATCCCTCATTTCAACCAAAACGCCGGTAATATAGCAACTCTTCAAGATCCTAGTGTAGTTACTAGTAAAGACAAGTAAAACGAAATTTTGAATTATAAAAAAACAAAATGAAATAAGATCTGTGTTTTAATCAGATTGTAATTATGTCTACTATCTCTGCCTGCATCATTTTATTATTCAACAGTTACACAGATTTAATTGGTTTGTCCAACCTCTCTGAATCTTTCGAGGCGACGTTGCCTAACATTACTTATTTAGATGGCTTATAAAGGCTGTTTGTAATATGTACATCCCAAACTTAGGCTGCCATTCTACAGTTAGCTCCGCCTGGTATGAAGTAGACGCTTTGCTGTGTGCAGTATGTAATATGTACAGTGTGACAATAAAAGAACACTTGATTATAATTTTGTTATAAAATGGGGCTTGCTCCATTTATGTAAATGCAATAAATTTTGATAATGTTTAAGAAAAGCTGTAAAATTATTACTTGTTCATGTTCATGTATTGATATTACGGTATTAGATTCACTGCATGTACATGTAAACCTATGGACACAGTTTTAATGGTATTTGTGATGTATGACATGTAAGCATTGAATTGATTTACATTCAAATGTCCTCTGACATGTTTGAGTTATTGTTGAACATTTGATATATAATATTTAAATCTCAATCAACAAAGAATTATAAATTTGATCTCTCCTATCTACTTGACTCGTCCTAGTTTACCAGTGGCACAAAATACTTTGCTCTAATCTAAGTACATACAGTAAATGTTGGTTAGGGTTGTGATTTTCAGTAATTTGGACAGTCTACCATATGATTTGATTTTCTCTAATCATAAGATTCCAGTATAGATATCAGAGCAGTGGCATGAAATATTTTTTTTCAAATGAGAATTTTTTTTGTTGGTCTTAATGCAAAGGCAAAAATAATGCTTTTTCCATTTTTATCATCAATGAACTGAGGATAAAAATTATATGAGATTAATTGAAGGCCAGTGTTGTATTAATTGGTTGATTAACTAGATTAAAATCATAATACATTCTAATGAATGAGTATGGATACGATTTAGTAAATTTAATTATTAAAATTAATGACATTAAACTGAAATAATTTTTTTAATTGTCCCCCGCCTTTCGAAGAAAGCAGGGGACTATTAAAATGGGTTCGTCCGTCTGTCTGTCCGTCTGTCTGTCCGTCTGTCCGTCCGTCTGTCTGTCCGTCTGTCTGTCCGTCACACATTTTGGGACACAATAACTCTCTTCCTAATTGAGCTAGAATGTTCAAACTTGGTGTATGTGTTTATTAGGTCAATGCCTTGATGGAGTTCGAAGATGAGCATTTTCTGATTAGAGTAACCAGAGATAAGCAATTTGATTGGTTAAAGCTTTGGGACACGATAACTTTAGTTCTAATTAAAGGAGCTAAATCACTAACATTTGTGACCTAGAAATTGACAAAAGTGGGTCGCAGCGCATATAATACTGTAATATGAATGTATATAAACTGATTTACATTCAAAGGTTTCCGTTTTTACTCCAATTTTAAATCAGTTATGTTCGGCGAAATAAGCCAGCAGTCTCAAGCGAGTGCAAATTTCTAGCGTCTGGTTATTCCAGTCTACATGTACATACGCCGTTTAATTTGGTGCAATGTGTCTAGCCTCGTCCCTCGAGTCTCTTGATACAACTGGGGCGAAGCGCATTATGGTACACGATTCGTGTACCAATGGTAAATTGTTTATTTTGTCTTAAATATTGGATATCAAAAGCCCATCTTTTTCCGGTAAGATCACAACATGAATGTTGATTTAATTTGACAAATAAATCGTGTTTTCAATGTTGAAGATTTTGGATGATATTGAGTTAGAGACTTAGCTACTTTAAGTGAGGGTGATGAAACTTGGTGTATAGTTTCATTACAATTGACATCAATACATGTACCTTGACTAAAATGAGCATTCTCTGTTCAGGGTAAGCAGAGCGATAAGCAATTTGATTGGTCGAGACTTTGGAACACAATAACTCTACTTCTAATTGAGCTAGAATGTTCAAACTTGGTGTGGGGATCACAGGACTAAGTAGGTAAGACGCTGGCCCGCTAGTCTGGAGGTCGGGTGTTCGATCCCTGCATTGGCCGAGAAAGTTCATCCAGATTTTCCGGCGTGGTTTCCCCTTGACAGGGCCTGACAAGGACAGCTGTCTAGTCGTTCGGATGGGACGAAAAACCGAGGTCCCGTGTAGATATTGGCAGGTGGAATTCGGTATAAGAGTAGGCCGTAGCGCCGCTGCCCGAGCAAAATTTCCCTCATAGCACACTGTATGTTGTATGCCCGTCTTCATTAGCCCAGTTTAGGAGCAGAACAGTAGGACGTTAAACCCGATTTCATTTCATTTCATTTTCAAACTTGGTGTAAGTGTCTATTAAGTGAATGCCGTGACAGAGTGTGATCATGCACATTTTCCACTTGGGCTAAGCCGAGATAAGCAATTTGATTGGTTGAAACCATGGAACACGATAACTCTAATTGGGTTAGAGTGATGAAACTCTGAGTATAGATTCATTATATCAATACCTTGACTAAGTTCAATGATGAGAATTTTCTGCTTGATTCTAACTGATGGAGAGTGATGAAACTTATTGTATAGTTTCACTACCAGGTACTGCAAGACCTTGACTGAGTTTGAATGTGAACATTTTATGATTAGACTAAGTATAGATAATTAATTTGATTACTCAGTACTTTTGAAAAAAGATAAATGTTCAGTTAATTAATATGTGTCATCTATGTATTTTTGGATTTCAGTGGGGAACATCAGCCTCACTGTTGGCTTGTTTTTTTTGACTGGTGAAGATATCCAAAGTGCTAATACCTCATTCCATTTTTGTTACAATTAATATTGTGATATTTTTTCCTTTTTTTTCCTAGTTACCTGGTAGCATGAATTCTTTAGATGGCTTAGAGAAATGGAAGAATGCCTCATTGCAATGGGTGAATTTTGGTGCCTCCCATTTTGCTGGATTTCTGCCAAAAGATGTAGACAATATTGTATTAGGAAAAAGTTATTATATAATAGAAGTGCAACAAGGTTTTTTCGAGGGCTTATCACTCTCAAGCAATAGATATTACCCACCAAGGGTATCGAACAATGAAAGCATACTTATTCATCGACTACTCACCTTATTTCATCCACGACCCTTTGTCATATCCAGATTTGCTTCACAAGGCAGTGTTGCATGTGTTCGAGCTTATAATGATAAATACATAGAAATCATTTTCAGGTAAGAAACTTTTATGCCATCTAGAGAACAAAACGGCTAAATTTGACATATTAGTATTACCTTCATGACTATTACACCATGTACACCTGTATCACCTGTACATGTAGTAGTGAACTACAAATTTTTAAACAGGATAGTGCATAAATTTATCCTACTGCTGGGCTACACATTATTAAAGAAATAAGTGTGGTCTGTTGTCCATACAATATTTCAAAACAGGATATGGCTCGAATATATTTAAATGTCCAATCACTACCTGGATTTATTTCACTACACAGCAAACTGCTGATTTTTCCATGTCAACCAAATCATGAAATAAACTGGTAGTTCAGATAAAATAAGGATAAAAAAAAAAGTTATGACTTAATTTGGAATATGTTATTATAAAACCTCTATTCATTGTCAAAAAATTGCTCCGACTGGCCTAATGAAGACAGGCATACGCCATACAGTGTGCTATGAGGGAAATTTTGCCCGGGCAGCGGCACCATGGCCTACTCCTATATAGAATTCCAACTGCCAAGGGATCTTTAATGCGCACAGCAATGTATACATGTGACCTCGGTTTTTAGTCCCATCCAACTGGCTAGACAGCTGTCCTTGTCAGGCCCTCCGTCCTGCACCACTGATGAGGGATCAAACATGCGACCTCCAGGCTAGGGAGCCAGTGTCTTACCCACTTAGCCACCATGGCTCCCAGTAAGCATGAAAATATAGCAACTTTTATGATATATCCTTACAAAATTCCAGTGAACATAGCATTATTTATAATCCTGACAACCTTTGATCTTTAACTTACATTATTTGTAGATCCTGTTACTTAGGCTCAATTCTGATAATTACCACCCATACCTACATCTTCATGATGAATATAATGATATTGATGTATATAAATAATACATGTAGATAGTTTTTGTATTAACTATATGGAGTTATTGGATTATATTTTTCAGAATTCATGCAGAATTTCAATTAAATGAACCCCCATACCATCCATTTTGGTTCACCCCTGCTCAATTTACAGGCAATCTTATTATAACCAGGGATGCCTCTGAAGTTTTTTATTTTAATATGTATGTACCTAATGACAAACGTCTCAATGTAGGTAAGTCAAAGTGATTTCCTGGTTAAATTTACGATCACCATCATTGGTTGTATTTATATTGAAATTAAGCACTGTAGTCTGAAACTATTGATTCTTGTAGCCAGTGCATATGCTTAAGTTAAACTGGTTATAAAACCCAGGCAATCGTTAAACAAGTCTAAAGGTGGGCCAAATAAAAATATAAAACTGGCCGGGTTTCAGTGCCCTGGTTGTACGTGACAAGGAGTAGGGTCGTCTGTCCAACCTCGTGGGTTTTCTCCGGGTCCTCTGGTTTCCTCCCACTGCTAAAGACCCCTTCGTGCAAGCGAATTATTGAAATAAAATTAAACCATGTGTTAGTCCCGAAATGACCTAGTTTGTGTCGAGTGGATGTTAAACCCCATTTCTCTCTCTCTCAAAATAGTTTAACTTATTTGGATTATATTACATGTGAACGCAACCCTACCCTGTCTTTTTTAAAAAAACAAAACAGCATTTTTAAACTAGTTTGAAATACAGTGGACTCTGTCACATCTGACATCTGAATACTACGACATTCTGTGAAATCCGACATCATTTTCATGTCCCGATTTATTTCCTTATTACTTCAGCCAAAAAAGCTTTGAGTAATCCGTATTCTGAATATTCCGAATTACGAATTCAATCAGCAGTCCCGTCACACAATTTCCATTGAATCAACATTGTACAATCCGGCCTTCAATCGGTGGGTGTGAAGTCACAAAAGATTAACAAACAATCACTAATCAATTATCTGTGGGATTAAAACTCGCTCGTGTATGTCTTTGTTGATTACTTTGATAATTTTATAATCTCTTGAAAGACAGTTGTTACAAATGCTCAAGAATACCCACGAATTTTCCCACGTATTCACAGTCATAAAAATATTCCTAGCACCTATTGGAAACATTCATTGCGCATGCTGATTGAACCTGAATAACTGAGTTTGTTCACCCTACAGGTCTCTCCGAACTGTGTGACGACGACCTGGACATAGAACGACAGATTATCAATGAACACGTGACAGCAAAGACAAGTGTGCAATCAACTGAAGGCAATGAAGAAGATAAATTAACAACAAATTTAAAGGAAATAACGTTCTGGGGATTCAAAGCTACATCCGACATATTGTAACGATCCCGTAGGATGTCAGATTTGACAGAGTCCACTGTATAAGCATCTTTAAACTAGTTTAATTATACTGAGCGCCATGGAAAACCATCACTTTTTTTTCCCAAATATTTTATTACTAGGTGGTTTTGTATGCATAATATTATGCAATACTATGAACTATTGTTTCACACAATGCTCCCAAACGCAAAAAATATCGGCCCGTGTGCACAAAAAAAAATTGCACGAGATGCACATGAAAAACCCAATATTCACGTGCAGCATTGTGTGTGAGCTCTTTAAAAGCATGTTTTCAACTTAATGTGCAGTACATGAACTGTGAAACGTCAATCTGTCATAATTTGTTGTTGGACGTGTGAAGGAATCGAGCTAGGGATGCCGAGACTTACTGAAAATCATCGGAATGAAGCCATGGGAATGTCCAGGGCTGGCATGTCTACATGTGCTATTGCCAGACACTTCAATTGTCATCAGTCCACTATTGTAAGGCTGGTGGAACGTGTTCGAGGTACTGCATCAACACGTGACCGTCAACGTCCTGGTCCACAACTCTTTACAACCCAGGCTGAAGACCGCTACATCGGGGTCACTCATCTGCGTGACAGATTCCGCCCAGCGACTCGAACAGGTGCAGCAGTCTTTGGAAGACAAGGACCAGTAAGTGCCAACACCGTAAGACGTCGTCTAAGAGAAGTAGGACTCTGTGCACTACGACCTTATGTTGGAGCTATCCCCAGGGATCATCACTGTCAGCGGCGTTTGATATGGGCTCAGAGTAGACTGGCAAAGCCTGCTCTTCAGTGATGAGAGTCGCTTTCATCTTTATCACGCTGATGGCCGTCAACGTGTGTGGAGACGTCTTGGGGAACGTCTTGCAGGCTGCTGCGTCTTCGAAACTAATCGATGGGGTGGGGGAAGTGTAATGGTGTGGGGAGGCTTCACATTTCATCACCGGACCGCCCTACACATTTGCAGGGGTCGCGTTAATGCTGTAGCCTACCGTGATGATGGCCCATCGAGGACACACGCTACTGACATGTGTCGTACTTTTGGTTTTGACCCCTCTGACTTTGTACCCTTGATTACAGATTAAACATCCGTAAGTGTACAAATGTGTTGTTATTGATGTGTTCCCATTTGAATATTGTTCACAATAAGAAGCAAAATAAATAAGATATGTTTACAGGATCATTTTGTTATACAAAAAACTAAGTGATGCCTTTTCCATGGCGCTCAGTATATAAGCATCTTTAAACTAGTTTAAATATAAGCATCTTTAAACTAGTTTTATATAAGCATTTGAACAGCCTATTATTATGTGATTTTTCAAAACAAGTTATTTCTCATTAATATTTGGCACGGGATAACCCTTGCATGGTGAGGCTTACTTGTTGGAAAATCACTAAACAATCTAATAGGGGGGGGGGGGGGGGATATTTATATGTGGATGTTCTTTTTTAAAAAAAAAACAAGACTTACTTCTGAGCTTGCTTGAAATTGGTTAGATATGATATTTTGAATAAAATATGGCACATGATATAAACGAACACAGAGGTATAGAATGCATGTCGTACGTAACTAACGTACGAAATTAATTGGTGGCTAGCTTTTTTTTCGCACGTATATAGTGAATGGCCATTTTGCTCAGTAATCCCAGCCAGAATTTGGCTATTTTCTAAATTTGCGTTAAAGTTTAAAATATTTGTTTTAGGACTGAAACACATTTTCTATTAGTCAATCCCAACGCTAAAAACATCAACAGAATTGATTGTGTATATCTGAAATAGACCCGACCGACGCACAAAATAGTGCAATATGGCGGCCTCTTTAAACAACCCTCGTAGACGCTGTCATTGAAGACAACGTCAATTCTATGAGTTGTAGATGTTATTTTTGTGAAAAATCATTGGAAGAAGAGAGAAAAAGTTGGGACTGTACGAATTATATAGTCTTTATGGGTGCAACGGACACAATGCTGAAAATAATCCTATTGTTTACAATGTTACGAGTTGTTGACCATTGACGTCAATGTCATGACCTGTGATGTGTAGATCACGTGATATGGATATCATGGCTATTTACTGTGTCTGAGATACTTCTCCGCAGGTAGCGTGTCTCAGATGTTCAGAATGGAATGCATGTCTGAATGTTGTACAATCTGTGTGGCTTGTAGTGTAAGGGGAGATAATCTTGCTCTAGGAACACATGAAGGATTTATCTTCCTTGGAAAGTTTGCAATATTTACAATTTTTCTTCTACTATGGTATTTAAATCAATAGAGATACACAACCAACCCATATTTGACTTTAAAAAATAATCTATCTCTGTTGTAGATATGGAATGGTTAAATGGACCAAAAGAGAGTGAAAACATGGAAGTAGATATAGGTTATATGCCACTAATGCAGATTAACACCTCTCAGCCTTCTGTAGCTTTTAAAGATTTAAAAGAATATGAACTGTTGGAACCATTACCAGAAAAGCCAGATCATAAAAAAGCAGCAGAAAATGTAGAATGGAATACAGAGATTTCTTTAGAAGACGCTAAAAGAAGTTTAGAAGTCACCCTTTATCCATTTAAACAGGTGTGAAAATTACTATGTTCATAGAAAAATTGATATATGTGGCTTGTTTATTATATCAAAACATGATATTCTTGAGCTTCGACTAAGGACATATGAGCATAATAAAGATATACCATACTTTCATCTCAAAGTGAAAAAGTTTGGGTGGGTTATCTTTAAACTGTACTAGCCTGGAGGTCGGGTGTTCAATCCCTGCATTGGCCGCGAAAGTTCATCCAGATTTTCCAGCGTGGTTTCCCCTTGTCAGTGATGCAGGACGGAGGGCCTGACAAAGACACATTGGCGTGCACGTAAAAGATCCCTTGGCAGTTGGAATTCGATATAAGAGTAGGCCGTAGTGCCGCTGCCCGGGCAAAATTTCCCTCATAGCACACTGTATGGCGTATGCCCGTCTTCATTAGCCCAGTTTAGGAGCAGAACAGAAGGACGTTAAACCCCATTTCATTTCATTTCTTTAAACTGTATTTTTAAATTTTCAGGTTCCATATTTCAATTTCACTAATGCCTTTGAAAAAGCCAATGAAGAACATAAATTGGTGCATTCTGTATTATTATGGGGTGCGTTAGATGACCAAAGCTGCTGAGGTTCGGGGCGGACCTTAAGGGATACAACCCTTCAGAGTCCGCCCGTAATCTCATTGTTGTCAGAGCAGTTTATTAGCTCCTGGTCTCTGGTGGCTGACCTCAAGGTAAATTTATTTCCAAATCCAGTGTTGCTATTGTAACATATAAATGAGAATACTTGCCTCAATATGATGAAAAATTTAAATAAATAATTGATGCTGTCAAAATTTGACCTAAATGCATAATAAAGTAATAGTCCTTAATTCTCAATTTCTTCATTATAATATACATGTACATACTGTACCAAATATGAAAATCAAAATTGTCCTTAAATTTTTGTAAAAAATGGGTTGTTACAAAGTTATTTTAGAATTTACATCTTAGTTCAACTGTTTGCTTTCCTGTAATGAACAAACAAACTTTCTTGTTTATATATAAGATTACAGATCAACAATTTCAATAAGATGATTATTCTTTCTATTGTGTAGGAACTTGAGAAAGATGACAGTCAACCAGCCTATTCAGGGTATGCTAAAGAATTCCTGGCTAACTATGAGTTTCCAGTGATGATGATTGTAGCCCATCCTAATGGTACCATATTGAATAAAGTTAATGCTAATTCTTTCTTAGATATGGATTCGTCATTTTTGGAATCGGCGTAAGTGATCATAAATGTTTAGTTCTTCATTACTAGCAATAAAGTCATGTATAGGAAGAAATTTTTGAATTGTTAAAGAAACTGCCATGGAAAACAGAGATGTAAATATAAAAATTAATGTAGCATTAAATAATCCCTATTGTTTATTTCTTGCTGTGTTCTGTTCTGTCATCCATTAGTTCAGAAAACCTTTAATTGAAATTATTAATGCAATTCTCCACATTTAACATTTGGTTGTTTTGTTCTATTTTCTGTGGAGTGAAAACAAACATTTAATATTATTTAACAAGAAGTTTATTTTGTTTCCTTTGTATTTCAGGTTACAAGATGCCTCCTCTGTTAATTATATCAAATTTTTAAAAGAGGGTATTTTAAATGCAGGCAGTTTCTTCAATGATGGAGGTTAAATTCCCATTAAAATGAATGCAAGAAAATTTGCTATTTAAATTCCATGTGTATGAATATTTCATATGCTGTTACATAATATACAATTTTAGGATTTTAAACCAGATGATTTATCATTTTAAATAATATTAGAAAATTTTGTTAATAGATAAATATGTAAATTTTAAGAATTGTTATGCTTCTTTTTGGCAATTTTAGATGTATGTATTTATTAGATTTATTTATATACTGCTGGCAAGTTACCGTATTGTTATGTGTGTATAGGGTTTTCTCTTACACACAAATCATATCATAAAAACCAATGTGTTTTTTCTATTCCAGATATATTTGTTTGTGTCTATATAAATGTAGGTTCAATTTATATGATTCAGGCTGGCAGGAATGCTATAGGCTCACTTTTCAAGTAATCAATTTTAGATAACATGTTTATAATGTTGTTGTGTTCAAGCACAAACTTGGTTTGCCATGTTATCCAAACCTGTCTAAGAACCTTAGATGTGATTGCTGCTTATTTCAGTCATATGTTAATTTAATCGCTTTCTTAAACATTTCATAATATATATCTGTGATATGCAAAGTTATATATTTAATAAGTTTTTCTATTTTTGGTATTTATTGTTTATTAGTATAAAATACTAAAAGTTTAAACACATAAAAAAAAATTGTTATTAAAACCATGTAATGTTCCAACCTATGCTCTTTAAATTACAGGTAATGATTATACTTAATATTTCTAAAATAAATTAGAAAAAAAATAGGAGTTGTCTTAATTAATGTTTTTAAACTTTATTCTTATAATAGTTCATCTATTAAATAGTGACTAACCTAATATCTATACAAACTGTAATAAGTATGTAAGTTGCAGATTACTTATTTTACAACTAATATTTTGTCTTAAGAACAATTTATTGTTTTATATATGTGTGTATTTATGTTTAGGCTTGCATTTGTATTATAATGTTATTACTTTAAAGTTCTGATTAAAATCTAATAAACAGTGTTTGTTATAATGTGAGAATCCATGATGACAAAGTCAGAAAACACTGCTAGTGTATGACTTTGTTTGATATTTTATCTACATTGATGATAAACTTTATTTTTATTATATTTTCATCAGAAGGGATTTCAGTAACACCATTATTGATGTAATGTAACCATTATTATTAACTGCAATAAATGTAATTAACTTAATTAAAGCATAAACCATAATAGGTGTTTTCGTAAGATTATTGTTTTTTTTTTTTTGTATTAAGAGCGGTGTGAATCATATTATTATGAATGATTGATATAAATAAAATCAGTTTTTCAATAATATTTTATTTTGTTTTTATTATTGAACATTTAGGCCTTCATCCCTTGGATATCAAATTATTGATAAGACATACATGTTGATGGATTACAGGCAGTTGTTCCTGGAAGGTTGTACTATTTTACACAACAATGATATTTAAAACAGGCCCGTAAAAGACCCCCCCCCCCTAAAAAATTGTCGACCATAAAAACAATAGATATACATTGTCCATCAATTTTACAGCACCACTGAGAACACTTCCCACCTTCCACGTTGCTCTAAGCTAGTTACGGCCCTGATTCAAAAACGAAAAAAAGCACATTAAAAAATATGCACTTACGCATGCAGAATCAGTGGCAGTCTTAAACACTAACACTAACAGCATCTCTTTCCTAATCTCAGGGCAGTTCAAGAATCAGTAGGTTGTGGACTGGGTTTTACTTATTTGAAATGGTGGCCTTCAGCTGTCACATCACCTGTATTTCACAGATATTTTTAACTATCGGAAAAATTTAAATGATCAGTTGGTGTTGAATAGGTACTGATGTATCGGCTGTCATTTTTGTTATCTAAGCCAGTAATTTTGAATACAATCATAGATAATACCGTATTATCTATGATACAATGTAGTTGAAATCGCGAGGTTAAAAAAAAGTGAGTTGTTTCCCCTTAAGCACTGTTCGGTCCTTTAAGTTGAAAAAAATTACATTATGATACCATCCGGGAATTTAAAAAATAAAAGGCTGGGGCGCCTATTTTTATTGGTTAAAGATTTTTAATTAAAATCTGGACTTAAAAAACCTCAAAATATTATATTACAATTCGACTTCGTTTGAAGAATATTTATTATAGTTTTGTTATAAATTTGGATTAACCGCACCGGAAGTAATGCTGTCAATGTTTACTCCATGTTTTCTAATGTTTACGTGTAAGGTGATGCTCTGGCCCTAGCTTATAATATTTAAAAAGATTTAAGTTAACTATATATATATAGTTATGTTGGTGGAATGAGTTAGTGGTTTATTTTTTCTGAACCTTGTTTCATTTGTGAGAAAACGCCATTAGAAGAGACACTGTAGACAGAGGTAAAAATTAAAAACAGACCATATGATCATGTGTATATATTCATGATGACCAGTACAGTTTGAGTGATATCTATAACCCAGATTCTGACAGATGATTTACTACTATTAACTAAAACTGGTCTGCAAATATGTGAACGATTACTGTAAGAATGTCGCTAAAAGTCTTGAGATAATCTGATGCCTATGATTTTAGCTACGGTACTGTCTCACTCTCGGTCTGAACCGCCTCAGTCTGAACCGTGGTAAATTTTAAATGGATTTCTTCGATCATGAACAAACTTCTTAACTTTGTTTATTATAAACTTAACCTGTGTGTTTGAGATCAACTCCTGCTAAATAAAATCTATTGCACAATTAAATATTCCAACGAATAAAAAAGTTCTCTTGAAAAATTTGACTATTTACTTGGAATTTCGACTGAGTAGAAGACAACATGGCTTTCGTCACGTGTTGGGTGAAACAAATGAAGTTGTCGTGGTGTTGGTTTAACTTTGACAGATCCATGTGTTGCAATCAAAACAAAGCGCGATCATTTCATTCGTTTGAGTTTCGGCATTGAAAAATATCAATTTTATTTAGGCAATTACTGAATTAGGCTACATAGGAGATTTATATTGAAACCATTGCGTACATACTCGTAAAAATAAAGTCATATATAAACATTTACAATTTGATATAAGAGTAGGCAATAGTGCTGCTGCCCGGGCAAATTCATAGCACACAGTATGGCTATCTTTTTTATTGTCAATTTCATACATGTAGCATTCTTTCAATCCAATAATAACCGTTTCAGTAACATTTATAAGCGTGTTGCAGCAGCCCTGAAAGTGCATATCGGGTGGGTTTATAAATATTATAATGCTAAAAAGCCTGTTACACCTCGTAAGAAGCATAAAATTACTTCCAGATTTGACAGTTTAACCATAGTGTGATAAGGGAAACTATCCACAGTCTGTATTTCTTGCAATTTCTATGTAGTTTTTCTTGTCCGCAGGTTTGTGACTTTGTCTTGTCGGTTTTCTTTAGCATGTAGTGATGTCCTCCTGCACTTTACTATTAAAGGAGTTAAACTTTTCCATAACATTCAAAATTAAACAATCAATATTCATGTTGTTATCTTGACGTGAAAATATGCGATCCGACTATCCAATAGTTAAGAGTCTTAACTTAAGACACAATGAACATTTTATAACCACTACACAAAGTCTGTATTCATATTATTTTAAAATCCATTTCAGTTAATTCCATATCTATTCAAAATATATGGAATTTTAGATAATTCTATTTTTGAAATACAAAATACAAACTCTATATCAACACTTCTTATAGTTTCATTAATTTTATCCAGTTCTCAACCGACGACTGTGCTCTGTAGTTAAAGAAAAAAATATTATAATTTCTCAAACCCACCTGCAAAGAGTATTAAAAGTAGTTGGGTTTAAGTTTTAGAATTCACACGGTAAAAGATTTGTCATTGTTTTTGTGGGTGGACGGACGTTTCGACCAGTGGTCTTCTTGACCCAGGATATTTTGGCCTAGGACGTTTTGGCCAGTGGACATTTCAGCATCGGACGCTTTGGTCAATGGACGTTTTGGCCAAAAGTTATCATCTGATCTTTCCGAAATTTATATGCATTATTTAAATTAGTAAAATGAAGAAGCCTATTGAATTTCAGCAATTTTTGTTAATTATTTCTAGAGTTATAGCCCTTGTTTCACTTTGTTGAACATTGTGAACGCTCTAACATCAAAAGTTATCTGCCGATCTATATGAAATTTATGTGCATCATTTAGATTAGTAAAAAGAAGAATCGTTGTGAACCTTGTGTACCTTCTAACGCCAAAAGTTATCATCCGATCTTTGTGAAATTGCATTATTTCAATTAGTGAAACGCGGGAAGCCTATTGAATTTCAGAAATTTACAATAATTACTTCTAGAGTTATGGCCCTTGTTTCAATTTTTTCAACCTGTTAATGCTTGATTGATGAAAGTTATCATCCGATGTACATGTATGTATGAAATTTATATGCATCATTTAAATTTGTGAAACGGAGGTCTATTGAATTTCAGCAATTTCCGTCAATTACATCTAGAGTTATGGCCCTTGCTTTACTTTGTGAACCTTGTGAACGTTCGAATGACAAAAGTTATCATCCGATCTGTATCAAATTTATAATAATATAATATTTATATGCATTATTTAAATTAGTAAAACGAAAAAGCCTGTCAAATTTCAACAATTTCTGTAAATTAATTCCAGAGTTAAGGCCCTTGTTTCAGTTTGTAGCACCTTGTGAAGTTCATGTGAACCCTCAAACAACGAAAATTATAGTCTGATCTGTATGAAATTATCTTGTAAATGCCCCCAATTACCTACAAAAGAATAAATATGTGACAACCCTTGTCAGCCGCTCAGACATTTTAGCTGTCGTGGGCATATATGTTTCATTGTCTGGCAGCCTATCTTTAATATATTCAGAATTTTGTGTATCACAAACTGATCCTTGGTCTGTAAATTTGGAACAGTTAATTTATTGTTGCCAACAGCGGACATGCTGTTCATATTCTTATATAGAATGCTTAATCTTTGTTTAAGGGTAGAAATCAAACCACATACAGTATATTAATATAGAGATGACAGATATCAGCTCCCTAACCCTCTTGATTATAAGATAGTAATACTATAAGGGCAAACCAATGAAAGTCCATTTAGATGAGTAGACATGCTAATGCTATCTTCTAAATAGAATATTCAGACTTACATGTATATTCAGAGAATTATTGTTTTCAGGTGTACTGAACTTATGATGTATTATTCTTCAAATAAATACCCAATCTTGAATAAAATCTTTGAACATCTCATCAAATAATTTGTGTATTTTTTTTTTAGGAGAACTGAATGAAGGTGTTGTAAAATCATTACTTTGTGATTTAATGTTTGAAATTGAAGATAATGGACTTGAAACATAATCATCGGAGAGCTGGTTCAGAAGTAATTATCCCAAGTATGGCCTATACTTGTAAGGTACATATACTTTGAGAATATATTAGTATATACATGTATAATAATAGTTATCCATTAATCATCAAATACATATAGCCAGGGGGTGCAAAATAAAATGACAAGCATTGTCATGTGCATTAGATTTACATTGTTCATGTTTTCAAAATGATTTATTCTTCTTAGGTCTTAGGTCATACAAAAAATTAATCTGGTTATCAGATAAGCTTAACCCTGTGTCACTTAAAAAAGGGCTGCATGACTTTTTTTTTTTTATTTCAAAAAATAAAAAGCTCACGAATGAAACCAGAAGTGTACAGTGGGTTCAGTTATCAAGTACGCAACCCTGGCAATTAAATACAATACTGGGTAATCATACATTCCTGTATAGAAACAGTGACTAGATTGAATGTAGAAATGTAATAACAATCTTATTGTTAGCTACAAATGATAAAATGTTGATATTGATAATAGTTCTGTCATTTTACTTTTAGGAATGTGGGTGTCAATGTAAAACTTGTGCATCTTCAAGGTTAGTACACAGACTTTTATCTTTAAGGCCATTGATGGTGTAATGATATTATGCATTTTAATTGTATGATTTGCAACAGTTAGCTTACTATAAAGTAGGTTATAAATCTTTGTAGGAATTTGTGGTAAGATATAATTAGTGTTGAAACTACTATTCGGATATCCGTTAACGGATACAAAATAAGGGTTATCCAAATCATTTTACTATCCGTTACAGTCTTCTGACATTCCGTATGCTCTATATTTAGCCTTTTTTACATCTGATTACTTTGAAATTTTCCCCAATGCTATTAATCACGTAGCAGCTTTGAGCATAAATGTTAATATCATGCGTATTATTTAGCGATAGTAACTAATAAAAATATTAATGCAGTGCAACGAAAACAGGAGTCTAAATAAAAGAATATTCATTCATTCCCTGCGCTGGTTTACGCTAGTTTGAAGCTTCTTTTGGGGTTTACGGGATACAAGTTTACACTGTGTTTAGACTTCCCGCAATGAAATTTATTCATAACGACCTAGGTCACGTATATTCTCACTTACTGATTGGTTCAATAGCAGTGTATTATCAGAATGAGGAAAACGACCTTGGCGTAATAAATGTCAGATGTTTTTATTTTACATTTTTCATTCGTGTTGATTGAGCAAAAATGATAAGTGGGAGGGCTGCGGATTACAGGAGTAGTTATACACAAATTTATTCACCTCATTGATTTTTTTGGATATCATGGATAGTCTTAATAAATTGCGGCTAAAGATAGGCACGTTTTTTTCTTCGCGGCTCAAACAATTTGCAAATCGAAAGTAAGATTTCATACTCAGCATACACGTACAGACACTCATAAACATTGAAATAAGTAAAAACTTATGAGTATATGAACTTTTGATGTGATTTTGTTCAAAAATTTCACGTTTCCGAATTATCCGAATAGTATTCGGATAGCAAACAAAAGTATTCGGATCACAAATCTCGATCTGATTTTCAACACTAGATATAATCCATGTCAAAATCAAGAATTTTGTAGCGGAATTACTTTTTATACACCACATTCAGGGTCAGTAGAAGCAATTCTTGATTAGGTGGGCTACCATCCTAGGAATGAAAGCCAAGGTCTAGGGGCCGCATAGGCCCCGTAAGCTCTTGGAGATCTAGATTGTCGGAGACATGTTTTGAGCAATGAGGTGAAGTTTTGATTATCCCCCGCCTTTCTAAGAAAGCAGGGGACTATTAAAATGGGTCTGTCCGTCTTTGATTCTAATTGAGTGATAGTGGTGAAACTTCGTGTATAGTTTCATTACACCAATACCTTAACAAAGCTCGATGCTTGAATCTGATTGGTCGAGACTTTGGAACACAATAACCCTCCTTCTAAATGAGATAGAATGTTCAGAATTGGTGTAGGTGTCTATTAGGTGAATGCCTTGAAAGAGTTTGATCATGCACATTTTCTACTAATGCTAAGCAGAGATAAGCAATTTGATTGAGTGAGACTTTGGAACACAAGAACTTTGGTTCTAATTGGGTGAGAGTGTTGAAACTCTTTGAGTATAGATTCATTATATCAATACATTAACTAAGTTCGATGATAAGAATTTTCTGCTTAGGCTAAGTAATGATAAGCAATTTGATTGGTCAAGACTTTGAACATAATAGATTTTCATTAGGTGAATGTCGTGACTGAGTGATAAAACTTAGTGTATAATTTCACTACCAGGTACTTCAAAACCTAACTGAGTTTGTTCGTGAACATTTTATGCTTAGACTAAGTATAGATAATTAATTTGATTACTCAGTACTTTTTGAAAAAGATAAACGTGCAGTTAATTAATGTGTCGTCTGTTTAATTTGGGATTTCGGTGGGGGACATCGGCCTCACTGTTGGCTAGTTACATTTCCATTACTCATTACTTTAGAAATCTTCCATTACTCATTACATGGCCATTACTTAAAAAATGTAATGAAAACTTACCATTACCCATTACCATTACCCCAGCCCTAGTTCTTTTCTAAGTCCCTTACCATGAAAATACAGTTGATTGTGAGTTCCTATGATGCTAAACTGAAAGAATATATGCATAATAAAATAGCCTAGACACACTGTGTGAATGTGATGGATATAGTTCATATGGGCAATGGGCAACCATACCACAGTGGAAAAACTACTTGGAAGGGTGTTCTGGCCCTGGGCATAATGTAAAGAATGTCATCAGTGAACGATCAGTTTCAGCTAAATCACTGCTAGCAGGTTTGTTTTTTTCTGAAAGTCTGCATTCGCACTTAAAATAAAATGGCAATTAGAAAGATAATAATTAAATATGTTCAAATTCTGTGTTGAAGTCAGAATTTAATTACTCTTTTTGAAAGATTTTCTCAGTCACGTCATTGTATCTAACCGAATAGTTACTTGTATGTGATAACCTGGAGAAGGGAATACTTGCAGCCAAATTATTGCCCCTCACTCCACTGCACTGACTGTTAAAAAAAATCTAACCCTACCGGATTTGTGAAAATGTCTATTTTTTTCCTTTATAGATATCTCTCTTTGTGCTGCTCTCTTCTTCAAAATAAATTATATTGCCGGGGTACAGTTATTTAAAAAAGACTGACGTAAAAATCAAGACTGGGGGTTTCGTACACATTTACCCCTGCACCCCCCCCCCCCCATAGTTTTCGATAAATAACTGCACACAATTGGGCAAAAACAAGCAGATATTTCAAACAGGTGAATCTAGCCTCTGATACATTTTAAATAAATATCTAATTACACCATCCGCCAATGCTGAGGTTTCTTCGCTGGTTTTGTCAATCCTATCAGTTCAATGGTTCAAGAGTTATACAACCCTATCAGTTCAATGGTTCAAGAGTTATTCTAATTTAGAAAAACAAACTGAAAACACCAAAACTCTTTATTTGCTATATGTTTATAGTAAAAAAATTCATGTTCTGTTGTTAATATAAGTAATATGTAATGTTTCAATTTTTCATATTGCCCACATCATCTTTGCAAGCACACAATATATTTATTTAAAAAAACCTACCCTACCCTATTTTCCAGCTGTTACAGAAAACAAATAATTTTTATACGTCCATTGTCTGTGTGTCACCTACAGACTGCAATTCTTAACTGATCCTCTTGAAACTTTACATACCCTAAGAATGATCCCTATTGTTTTTGGTGAATGCTTGACCCCCAGGGGCAAAGCCACCCCCATTTTTATATGCCCACATTTTCATGTGGATGTATATTGTCGTCAGCCCTGTCCATCCGGACGCCTGTCCGTCTGTCCATCCACAATTTGTTTGTGGACACTCTACAGGTCACAATTCTTATCCGATTTTGACGAAACTTAAAATATAGGTTTATCTCCAAAAGATCTTGGTTTCTTTCGATGTTGTCTTGTATCGGATCAAAACTTCATGGATTATGACCCCTGATTGTAAGAAAAATCACGTTTTTAGCTTGTGGACACTCTAAAGGTCACAATTTTCATCTGATTTTGATGAAACTTGAAATACGACATGTTTTGTCCCAAAGATCTTGGTTCCTTTCAATATTCGCGCATATTGGATCCTAACTCCCTGAATTATGGCCTTTGATTGTGCAAAAAATCACGTTCTCAGCTTGTGGTCCCTCTAGAGGTAACAATTTTTATCCGATTTAAAAAACGTTTGAATATATCACCATTACACCCTAATGATGGTGAGTTCAAATTTCTTGAAAATCTGACCAAAACATCCATACAAAATGGCAGCCCCTTGTACGCCAATAGTGTAAACATCTGGTATATCAAGGTTGTGGACCCTCTAGCGGTCACAATTTTGATCGGATTTTGATGAAACGAGAAATACATGTTTATAATCCAAAGATCTTGGTGCCTTTCGATACTCGCGCATATGGGATTGTAACCTCCTGAATTATGGCCCTTGATTGTATGAAAAATCACTTTTTTAGCTTGTGGTCCTTGTAGAGGTCACAATTTTTATCTGATTTAAAAAAACGTGTGAATATATCCCCGTTGCACACTAAGATCTTGGTTCCTTTTTGATAATCGTGCATATCTGAACGTAAATATTCGGATTATGGCCCCTGATTGTTCGAAAAATTGCATTTTTAGCATGTGGATTTTCTGATTTTAATAACAGTTAAATATATCACCATTCCACCATAATGAAGGTTGAATTCAAATTTCAGGAAAATTGAAATGAAACTGTCCGACAAAATGGCCACTCTTTGTATGCAAATTGTGTAAACGTATGTAATACGAAAGTTCTGGACCCTCTAGAGCAGTGATGGGATTTCAAAATTTTTCTTGTCGGACATAACTCTTATCACCATTTAAGCAGGCAGTTTTAGACCACACACAAAATATTCAAATTCATACGTAATAAAAAAAATATGTGCACCTCGTTATTTTTCATATTTAATTCCCATACGGTATTCAAATTTATGTTAGTAATATTCCTACAAAATTATGTGAAGTCGTAATCCAATAGAATGAAAGCGTGGCGACTACTGCCGATCCGTACCTGTTTCAAATTCCTCCAAAATAACCATATTTTTCGGGTCATAAGTCGATACATTTTTCAGCAGAAGTCCGACATTCGTCTTATACTCCGTTTTGACTTATATACGGAAGGTAAAAAAATGACATCCCAAAATTTATTTGGCAGTAAACGTCGCTCTACCACAATGAGCGAATGACATCAACTGCTAAATAATCGCATTTGACTCTAGTACGCGCTATCATCTAAAAATATGCGCTATCATGTGTTATACCTACACTATTCCAATCGACATATTTGTCAACATTTCCTAACATACTTATTTCTTTATTTAAAAATAGAATCTTTTCTCCGACATTATAGACGTGTGAAATTTGTCATGTATCCATTTCATAAAGCCATTAAAAACGCAATGCCTAATTCATGAAATATTTCTGGTAAACGTTTTCTTGGGCTTTCCTATCTTATGACACATAGGTGAAACTTGTGATGGGTCT